AGTAGTTCCAGAAAGAGATAAAATAGAAAATGGGAGGGGAGAAAATCACCACAGAATAATTCAAGAAAATTCCCAGAACTAAAGAATAAGTGTTTCCGGATTGCCAGGGCACAAAAATGCCCAACATGCTGGATAAAATATACCAAGGCACTGTGTATCTCAGAACACCATGGATGTATCGGTCAGGGCAGGCATTGTTAAGCTGCAGCAATGAGCAGCCCGAAAGCCCTCAGAGGCCTGAAACAACAAAGATTTATTCTTCAAGTTTATTTCAATCGAACAGGGTCACAGCATGGGTAGGAGGGGGTTCTGCAAGCTGAGTATCATCACTGTCAAGCTGAGTTCAGAACCAAACTAAAGGGAGGGAAAACTCTGGCAGCAACTTACACTCGCAGCTAAGTGCAGGCCCAGAAGTGGAAGTAGCACTTCCGCTCAGCTCCCGGGCAGGCCACTGGCACAGCAACCATGTGAGGCCATCAAGCTCAGGGAGTGAGGAAGGGAGGGCAATCCTACCAAGAGCCTGGGGGGCAGGGGGCTGGACATGTGTGGTGAACACTGATGACCAGGGATGAAAGGAAGACACTACAATCTTCAAAAAGAGAAGGACTGGCTTGAAACTCTTCAACAATACTGGAGGCCAAAAAGGATTGGATCGATGCTTCAAAAATTCGAAAGGAAATTTTTTTGTATAATTCTATATTATCAATCTATCAGACATGAAGGCAGAAAACATACTTATGGGTAAAGTCTCAAAATTCACCTCCCATCACATCCAAACCAGGGAGTGAAACAAGGGGGAGTCAGGAAGAGGAAGTCAGGAGACAGAAGCCCTGCGGCGGGCAGGTCCAGGCTGATGTGGGTGCAGGTGGTGAGGCTGGCAGCTGATCCCCAGATGCATACACAAGTTTCAGTAGAAGGCTCCGGGGCCCTTCTTCAGGTAGGGGTGCTGACAGAGGGGCATCCTGATGCCCGTGAACATCGTGGGGGAAGACGTGACAACTGGCAAAGAGTTTGCAGTGGGATCTGTCATACTACATAGAAAGCAAGCAAATTAGAACACCGGCCAATTATTCGCTGGAGAAAACAAAAAGTAACGTACAACATGACTCACTAGAACAGCATTTACATAGTGACGCTTGTAAACACTGCATGTTGATCTCCATGAGATTATACCACATCTATAGAGGAGGGTAGAGAGCATGCACGGGGGCAAAGAGAAGAAAAAAATCATCTCCCAAAGAACAAAGTCACTAGGTAAGATCTACAACTGAAAAATCAGGAAGGCAGGTGATTCAATGGCACAAAGATAAATACCAAAATAATCAGCTAAAAGAAATGAAGTGCCTAGGGGCTGGGTGCGGTGGCTCAAGCCTGCGAGAGGCCAAGGCCAGCGGATCACCTGAGGTCAGGAGTTTGAGACCATCCTGACCAACCTGGAGAAACCGTCTCTACTAAAAATACAAAATTAACCAGGCATGGTGGCGCATGCCTGTAATTCCAGATACTCAGGAGGCTGAGGCAGGAAGGAGAATCACTTGAACCCGGGAGGCCAAGGTTGCAGTGAGCCGAAATCACACCATTGCAACCCAGCCTGGGCAGCAAAAGCAAAACTCTGTATCAAAAAAAAAAAAAAGGAGTAAAGTGCCTATTTCTGGGGAGAAGGAAATGGTGGCAGGGGATACTGTTTGGCTCCGCAGAAGCTACTTAACTTTTTACACTATATGCATGTTAAAAAAATAATACGTTAAAGGTTATTCAAGCCGAGTCTGCCCAGGAGATACCTAGTAGGTTGGCCTGATTTTTGATTCAGTACAAAGGGTAGAAACTGAGTTCTTTCAATGAGCCATGAGCACTGCTATAAATGCTACAAGGGCTGAAACACATAAGACACAATCCCTGTCCTCAGAATCAGGATTTCATTGAGGAAAAAGCCAACATATGAACGGGAAAGAACTCAAGTACAACGCAAGTTGGCAGGTGGTCAACCCCAAGACATGAAGAAGAGTTATGTGGTATCAAGGAGGAGACTCAGGGCCAGAGTAAGTAGCAAAGGCTTTGGGAAAGATGTAAGGAGCAGAAGGAGAAAGGCTAACAGAACTTGAGTTCTGTTCCCGAAACAGGGAGGGCATTTCTGCAACGGAGACTGGCTAACAGTGAGGGTGTAAAGAATTGGGAAGTATGGTCAGTTTTTTCAAACAGTGGTGAGAGTTTACTTGTAACAGGGAGGACAAGATTATTAATTAGGAAAAGCAGAGATTAGAAAACACAGACATTACCGTTGAGGGACTACATTTTCAGCGTCCTTGGGTGTTATCAATCACAAGCCCTGTAACATATTTCCCTGCAGAGTGGCTCAGACTTAGCCTACTTGCTCCTTATTAACACTGCCTCCACCCTGTTTTAAACCCCTCATAGCTAAAATCACCCATGTCGTGGGCTGCACCCCAGGCCTGCCTGCCTGCTCTGGCCTCTGTCTGCCTGGGCAGCCTCATGGCTGTAATTTTGTTTTCACACTCCAACAATACCATCCTTCTTTGCATTCCTAGAATACTGCCTGCTCTTGGCTGCCGCAGGACCTCTGCACACACTGCTCCTCCTAGAACTCGCTCTCTCCTGTGACCTCCCTGTTAACTCCTACATAAGCCTTCCATTCTCAGCTCATTTTTTGATTCCTCAAGAAAACAAACATACCTGATTGCTCTCACTCAGGAGTTCCTGCCACAGTTCTCATTCATTCCTTTCCCTCACACCAGTTTGTAATTTAACCTTCATTTCCAATTCATGCCCACCTCACCATCTCGGCCAGTGGGTCTCAAAGTGGGGTCAGGCCACAGCAACAGCATACAGAACAACCTATTAGTGATGCAGATTCTCAGGCCACATCCCAGACCAACTGAATCAGAATCTTGAGGAGGGAGACAAGCAGTCTGTGTTTTTAAAAAACCCCCTAGTGATTCTGATGCATGCTTAAGCCTGAGAACCAATGTGCCTGACTGTGGTATACGGTCTGTACCATCAGAGCACAGACCAGGTGTTTTAGCACCCCATGGTGTCTCCTGGTGCCAAGTTCGGCAACAACAGTAAGGACTCGGTAAGATTTCCTGGTTAGATGAATAACAGGTTAAAAAAAACTTTCCAGCCAGGCACGGCGGCTCACGCCTGTAATCCCAGCACTTTGGGAGGCCGAGGCGGGCAGATCACGAGGTCAGGAGATCGAGACCATCCTGGCTAACATCGTGAAATCCCGTCTCTACTAAAAATACAAAAAATTAGCCGGGTGTGGTGGCAGGCGCCTGTAGTCCCAGCTACTCGGGAGGCTGAGGCAGAAGAACTGTGTGAACCCGGGAGGTGGAGCTTGCAGTGAGCCGGGATCACCCCACTGCACTCCAGCCTGGGCAACAGAGCGAGACTCCGTTTCAAAAAAAAAAAAAAATCCATGACTCCATAACTCCCCTAGTTTATTAATTCTAAACCCTTGCGGCAACTTTAGAATACCCCCAAAATAAAATGGAAACTGCTGTCGGAAGACCTGGGTTCTAGCTCCTGCTCCTAGACCTTTCTGGGTTCAAATGTTGGCCTTCCTTCTCTTGCTATCTGTGTGATCATCCGTAAATTTCCTAATCTCTCTTGGCCTTAACTTCCTCACCTCTAAACTAGGAATCATTATAGCACCGATTTCCCAGGGTTGCTGAATGATTCAGACAACGGCACTAAGAATCAAGACTCACATACACAGTTAAGCACTCAACAAATGAAGGTAGTATTACTGCCATAATAAATAGTTATTCAACTTTAAATGGTCTTTCCTCTTGGGTCTCAGCTTTCTTACTCAAGATTGACCACACACACTTCAGACTAGTTCTTCCTCCCTTGCAAAACTACTCACATCTAACACCCATCCGAGGCCTGAAACCTGCCCTAGCAACCCGGAGTCCTGCTGGGGTTTTCCAGCTCCACCTCCTGAACAGCTGGGCTCTAGCAGACAGGCTGGATTTACTTATACTTGCCTTCTTAGAGCTCAACTGAAGTCACTTCAGACAAGTGATTCCCCACTAACCTCGGGAATTAGATCTTGATAACTCAACAGGTTAGCAGGTGATTTCATTTCAGTGTGTCTCGGTGGCTAGCATTCAAACGCAGCTCACACTGGGAGCTATTTCCAGTCCAATTTCGGTACTTGGTGACGTATTAACAACAGCAATTAAAACATATGCCCAACGAATAGATCTTAAAAAGGACGATTTCTGACTTCCCTAATAAGCAGAGGGCCCACCACCTGCCTGCGAAGTGCCCCTCCTGCCCCGTCTCCAGGCAGCACGCTGTGAGTGATGACAGAAACTAGACCCGCGCACGGCGAAGCTGCAGGCACGCCCCGCCCGGCCACCGAACTGCCTGCCCGCTGGGCCCGGCCGCCGAGCCCCGGGGGAAAACCTAGAATGGGGGTGCCCGTGCGCCCCGACACCTGGCCACGGCAGCGGCCCGGGCGGCCGCCCACACTTGGCTCCCCAAGAGTTAAACGCTGAGTAATTTTCCTGAGGAGCAAACAGTCGGAGCGGGGGCTCTGCCAACCGCCACAGTATTTTTATCCGACTTAACCAACACCGCGGCGCGACCGCGGGTGTCCCCAAGGGTATCCCCACGCGGCAAGCTCCGGAGTCGCCGGCCGGGATTCTCGCCGGCTCCCAGCGCGACGTGGACGACAGCGCTGCCGCCGAGTTCCCCGGACAGGAGGCAGGGACCGGGGGCCGCCCGAGGACGGCTAAGGGCCCCTCCGTCCGGGGTCCGCGCCCGGGCCTAAGCTGTCGGGGGTGTGCGCCCAAGTTGGCCCGCTTTGCTGCAAGAGTGGAAAGGGGTGGGAGCAGAAAGCGCCGGTCCCGCCCGGGGCGGGGAGCAACGCGGGGCTGCAGGGCCGCCTCGGGGCTCCGCACCACCGCCGCCCGGCCCACCGTGGAGCCGGGGAATGAATGGGGCTCCCCACCTAGCCGCGGGCGCGCACTCACAGGCGACGTAGGCCAGCAAGGCGATGCCCAGCAGCAGCTTCATCCTCCTGCGGTTGACGGCAGACACGAGGCGCAGCAGCGCCTTGCTCACCATCCCCGGGAGCCGCGCGGGTCCAGGGCCCTGCCGCGCGGGGGCCCGCCTGCTGCACAATGCGCGGCGGCGGCGGCGGCGGCGGCGGCAGCGGCCCCGAGAGCCCCGCCCCTTGCCGCCGCGAGACCCCGCCCCCGCGCGCCGGGCTTCCTGCCGGCGGGATCAGCGCGCACGCGCGCCTCCACCCCCTTCCTCCGGCTCCGCCCCCTTCCTCCGGCTTCTCTCCCCGCAGGCGCAGTTGCCGCCTTTCTTGTCCTGGTTTTCGAAGAATGTGGCCTGGAGGGCTGGTGGGCGGTGCGGCGCGGCGCGGCGCATGCGCGTTCCGGTCTGTTTTCTCCGAGCTGTAGCGCGCGGGCGCCAGCCGGAAAGTGCTGCTAGGTTTGTTTCGCTGAGGTGCGTCCCCAACCCAAGGGCACGACCGCGGTGGCCAGTTTCCGAGCCCCGCCCGGCTGGGGGCACGCGGTGGGCGTCCCGGTGTTGCCGTGAAACGAAACTTATTTGCTAAACTTGGCCGAGCTTTTGAAGTTGTTGAATGCCTGCCTCAGAAAGTTGCCTCGTTCTCTGGGCTGTTTAGTCGGGTTTTTTTAGTTAGAATATCGGCAGCGAAAATGATAAATCCCCTAAACCTTGCCGAAATAAAAACTGGCTGCGCCTTTTTTTTCCTTGGCTATATCAACTGGGGTGCTTTTCTTTTAAAAATAGTTTTTTATTGTTATTTTAAAAAGCAGTGCTAAGTATATTAATTTAGGGTAGACGAAGAAAAGATGAAATTGCGCTGTCTCTGCCTAGAGATAAACCATGAACACGTTGTCATGTGTGTTTCATTCAGTCTTTTTGTTGATCTGTTTTATAAGTGCTGTACTGATTGCATAGGAGGTACCTGTGTTTAGAAAGCATTTATTGCAAGATTACAAGCAAGGAGATGTATCAGAAGATCCACAATCAGAATCTTGTCTTTGGATCTGCTGAGAGCTGGTCCCATGGAGGAAAAAAAGACAAGTACACACAGATGTGTGTGATGCTACATCAAGAGAGATCCCAGATTTGGGATCTGCAGGCTTCAAGAGCTCATCTTCAGCTATACGGAGCAACTGGAGTCAGCAGCAGCTCTAGTTCTTGAAACCTCAGGCCATTTTGCTCAACTCAATAGAACACCCTCCTTTAGATTTATTAGAAACCTCCAAGAAAAAAAAATATGGCAGCTGGTACTAAAGCAGCAGCTTTATGTTACATCTTTCAAACTATATAGTGCAAATGCCATGATTCTGATAAAATCTCCATCCTACCGCGCCCCTAAACGTATTGAGAATCCCTGACTAGGAGGAAACAGGCTGAGCGGTTTGCTGAGGCTGATCGCCCCTGCTGTGCATGCTGTCCATAGATGGAATGGACTTCTTTCGAGAAGCCCAGCTCCCTGACTCTGACTGTCCGAGGAGGCTGCCAAGTGACAAAACACCTGGCATGGGAGACTGAGCCCTGGGTTTCCAGAGGGGCCAGGCCCCCAGAGCACACCGGTTTGGAACAAATCGATTTTGTCTGTAAGTCTGCATTTCCTCGTGGCTGACTTTTTGGGTTTGCCTTAGATCCATGGTTTTTGAAAAGAGAAGTAATTAGAGCAAGTGGAGCTCTAGGCCTTTCCCATTCCATGACTCCGTGGTTTTTAGATTAAAGATGAGGAGCAGAAATGGAAGAAAAGAACAGTTCATTAGCACTTGACCTATGGGCAAAATCAGACTGAAGCTTCTAGGCAGATTTCAAGCATTTTAGGTTTTAGGTAAGGTTTAGTTGATAGGTATCCTATTAGATGAAAAAGGTAAGAAATTATGGGGTATTTGCCATTTCTGTACTAAACTCCTTAAGCCCAGCATTCCCTGTTAGCATTCTTTTCTGCTGCTGGACGCTAGTGCCAACTTCTGCCCCGTGGGATTAAGTATATTGAAATACCATTAGCAGCTGCAGTTGAAATAGCTGCTGCTGTCATTATTGCCACCCAGAAGGCGGTTGGTGTTCCAGGACGCTGGTGTCCAGCTCAGCTGCAGCCAGAATTAAAGAGTAAGCAATAGTAAATGTGCACCCAGTGGAGGTAAGAAGGCCTGAGGCAGGGGGATGCTGGAGAGGCCCCGTAAGCTCTGGGGATCTTGGGCGTAAGTAGCACCATTTCCGTGTGCTGCTTGCCTCCCTTGTCTCTTCCCAACCCATCCCCACTTCCCCAGTGGGTTCTGGGCTCATCCCCCCCTGCCCCCTCCCATCGCTGTCAACCCTCTCATATTTCCACTGGATAGGTTAACAACAATATTTTTGAGCGATTGCATAGTTTTGAACAATTACAAGTTACAAGGTAGTGTTTTTGATACTTAGGGTAATTAAAAAATGAATTGTAATATGGCTTCTCTTCTAGAGTGTACAAAGCCTGAGGAGTGGAGAAAATTAACATTTATTAAACCTCTACAATGTGCCAGGGACTGTTATGCAATGCACTTGCATTGTTATCTCATTGATATGGTTTGGCTGTATGTCCCCACCCAAATCTCATCTCAAATTGTAATCCCCACATGTCAAGGGAAGGACCTAGTGAGAGGTGATTGGATCATGGAGGTGATTTTCCCTATGCTGTTCTTGTGATAGGGAGTTCTCATGAGAGCTGATGGCTTTTTTTTTTTTTTTGAGACGGAATCTCACTCTGTTGCCCAGGCTGGAGGGCAATATCACAATCTCAGCTCACTGCAACCTCCGCCTCCTGGGTTCAAGTGATTCTCCTGCCTCAGTCTCCCGAGTAACTGGGATTACAGGCACCCGCCACCATGCCCAGCTAATTTTTGTATTTTTAGGAGAGATGGAGTTTCACCATGTTGGTCAGGCTGATCTTGAACTCCTGACCTCAGGTGATCCACCCACCACGGCCTCCCAAAGTGCTGGGATTACAGGCGTGAGCCACCACACCCTGCCGGTTTTAAAAGTGTTTGGAAGTTTCCCCTTCACGGCATTTCTCTCCTCTCCCCTCTGCCAAGTGAAGAAGGTCGTTGTTTCCTCTTCACCTTCTGCCACGATTGTAAGTTTCCTAAGGCCTTCGCAGCCATGCGGAACTGTGAGTTCATTAAACCTCTTCCGTTTATTAGTTAGCTAGGCTCCATCGGTGCTTTATAGCAGTGTGAAAACTACTAAGACACTCGTTTAATTCTTGTAACACCCCTGTGGGGCAGGGTTGCCATTGTTGCTGCTCTTTGAAAAAACAACTTTTTAAAATTAATTTTTAAATCAACAAAAATTGTATATATTTATGACGTGTCGTATGATGTTTTTAATAAATGTATAGATGGTGGAAGAGCTAAAACTAATTTGCTTCCACCTTTTCGGTATTGTGAATAATGCTGCTGTGAACACAGGTGTACAAATATCTCTTTAAGACCCCACCATAGATTCTTTTGGGTACATACCCAGAAGTGGAATTGCTGGATTATAAGGTAGTTGCATGTTTAATTTTTTCAGAAACCTCTATACTGTCTTCCTTAATGGCTGTACTGATTTACATTGCTGCTGTCATTAATAGATGAGGAAACTGAGGCTCTGAACATTTGATGAGTGTCCCAACACTTGGTAAGTGGCAGGGTTACCAGCTACTTGGCTTGGCAAGTAACAGGGTTACCAGTCACAGAGCTGGGAGTATAGGGCTGGAATTTTAAGCCATGAATTTCCCTATGTGAGGATGCTTTTCTGGAGTTGAGTGCAGACTTGCAAAGAAATGACTATCACACATAGCAAAATGTGGTGAGAGCTCACTGGGTCGGGGGTCACATGAATGGCTAAGGAATTTCACAACAGGGAGGTATGCTTCCAGGTCATGGACTGTGGTTTGCCATGCCAGGACCAACTGACAGGCTCACAAGAGCTGACAGTTAGCAACTGTTCCTCTGGGATTATTTGCACCCTGGAAATACGCAGTTGCTACATACCAGGGATTCTTTTTTTTTTTCTTCTTTTAACTAGCATACTTCTGCTTGCAGATGAGAACAGTGAGAGAGAGAAAGCTTTGCAGAGCAGGACCTACGTGGGCTGAATTTGAAAAGATGTAATATAGGATTTGAACTCATACATCTTGGGCAGGGGCATCCCTCAGGAAATAGCAAAGGCAAAGATGCTGGGGAGGGAAAGGTTTCCATAGGAAATAGTGGGGATCTCTGGTGGGAGGAGCAGAGAACAGGAAGCGATGGTATATTGGCCAGGCGCAGTAATCGCAGCACTTTGGGAGGCTGAGGCAGGTGGATCATCTGAGGTCAGGAGTTTGAGACCAGCCTGACCAACATGGTGAAACCCCATCTCTACTGAAAATTCAAAAATTAGCTGGGCATGGTGGAGGGCACCTGTAATCCCAGCTACTCAGGAGACTGAGGTAGGAGAATCACTTGAATCCAGGAGGCAGAGGTTGCAGTGAGCTGAGATCGCACCACTGCACTCCAGCGTCGTTGATAGAGTGAGACTCCATCGTGAAAAGAAGAAAAAAAAAAAGAAGAGGAAGTGAAGGTATAAGTAATGTTCCAAAGAAAGGCCATGAGGATTAGTAGAAACAAGGCATCAATCACACCCTCATCAAGGGTTACTTTCTTTCCTGGCTACTCAGTAGCAGTGTCAGCCTCCATCTTCATCTTTGCACTCTGCTCTGAACACTGCTGGGCCTAGTGTGTGCTCACTGCATCTTCCAGGCTTCCCATTATGCCCTGCCAAGAGAGGGCCCTGGAGGAAGATCAATGGGCGGAGGAGAGATGTTTCTGTGTCAGCTCTTCTAGCGTGGCCATGGCTAGTGGCTGCTGGCACTTGCTGCAGTGAGGGCGGGGTGATTCTGGACTCAGCAGCCCCAGGGAGGCTACATCTTTTCAGAAGTTGACCCCTGTCATCAAGGCCCCTCTTCTCAGCTGATCTGGAGCTGACAGCTTCTGATCTCTGGGCATCGCTTCTTTCGTTTTTCCTTCTTCAGAATCTCTCTTCTGCCTTTGGTGCTTCTTAACCCTGCCAACATCTTTGGAATCAAATCCCTGTATTAAATTTCTTCTGTTTGAAATACTTACAATAGTTTTCCTGACTAGATCTCAATTGATCCTCCTCTGATGAAGGTGAGAAAGACGGCTTGGTCTCAGACCTCCTCCTGAGGTGCCTGCCATGAAGCTGCTCCTCCCCGCCATGCCAGCTGTGCCATGGCCACAGAAGTTTTCCTGTTGGTAA